TTTTGACCTTAAAAGGTTTTGTTTTCAAAACCCTTGACTTTGGGAAAGTTTTAACCAGGAATGTTTTTGACTTCAAAGTGATCTGTAGCTGGGAGATTATTTCTGGCATGCGTCATCATGGTAAGATGGGTGGAAGGTGCAGGAGGGTCAATGCAGTACAGGTGGTCCTATGAAAAAGGCAACGTTTTGAGAATTCTTAACCTAAGCCCCTTCATTGTTGTAGAATCCAAGAATGTCTCATTGTGGGAGCAAATGTCTTTAAATAAACCTCTCTAACAATGCCTCTGATGTGTTTTCTGAACATATCCATGAAAGTGTGTGTGTGTGTGTGTGTGTGTTGTGTCTTCCATCAGAACTTCCTGCCCAAGGCTCCAAAGTCTAGGGTTTCCCTCAGAGCCGCCACCACAGTGTTTACCCTGTCCATGCACTGTTCTCTCCACACCCACTTCTTCGACCTTACTTCTTTGCTCCCCAATGGCTTATGTGATGCATTCCCTGATTCTTCCCAAGTTCCTTCAGAGAAACAAAAAGGTACCAGGTTGCAGATATTATGATTTGTGAGCCAGCCAATATGGGTTTGACTATGATTCTTTTTAGGTTAGGATGGATGATCGACAAGAACTTTGGTATCTTGAGTCTGACTCCAGCAGAATTGGGGTGCGATGTCTCTTGTCTGTTAATGATTCCAGAGATATGATTAAGGCCTGCCCCATGCAAGGCATTGCTGGGGGTGCAGAAGTGATTCAGACCCCTATCCTGATGCCTGAGAAACATCCCCAGTAGAGGAAGGATAATCAAGTTCCACAAATGTTAACATAAGAATGGGAGAACACAGTGTGAGGGGACTCAAAAGAGGCAGGGAAGCTTCATGATCTCTTTCCCAGCCAGGCCTGCACAGTAAGATATTCCCCAGGCATTTTCCATAAAAGCAGCCCAGAGCCAGCTGTATTTGGTTGTGGAATAGGCAGTGGTATGATTTTAGGCAGGGTTCCCAGCCTCAAATAGCAGTTCCAGTGTCTGTCATTCTATTATAACTTTGTTCTTCTAGGTCTTGAAAGCTTTATCTTGGTGGGGTCTTCCTTGAACACAGATGTTTCTGTTAGGGTCATTAAGTCTTGGTGAGCTAGTATCTTATTTATTTATTTATTTGAGACCAGGTCTGGCTCTGTCATCACCCAGGCTAGAGTGCAGTGGCATGATCTTGGCTCACTGCAGCCTCAACCTCCCAGGCTCAAGCAATCCTCCCCCTTCAGTCAGCCTCTTGAGTAGCTGGGACTATGGGAGCATACCACCATGCCTGACTAATTTTTTATGTTTTTGGTAGAGGTCGGTTTTACCATGTTGCCCAGGGTAGCCTCAAACTCCTAAGCTTAAGCAATCCACCCACCTCAGGCTCCCAAAGTACTGGGATTACAGGCGTGAGCCGCTGTGCTCGGCCTGAACTAGTATCTTAATCATCTACATGTGTAGGATAGCTATCTCTGAATCGTGTTATTATGAATGACTGTTGATATCTTCTTTTGCTTATTTTTCCCACAGTGAACATGTACACAGAGAAAAGGTGATGGGGGGATAGGGGATGTTGATGCCAGACATTCTAACTTCATTCTTTTGTAAATTTAAACTTTAATTCAAACCGGGTAATATGGTTTGGATGTTTGTCTCCTCCAAATCTCACATTGAAATGTGACCTCCAATGTTGGAGGTGGGGCCTAGTGGGCGGTATTGGATCATGGGGATGGATTCCTCATGAATGGCTTAGCACCACCCCCATTTGGTCATAAGCGAGTTCTTGCTCTATTAGTTCTTGGGAGATCTGATTGTTTAAAAGGAGCTGGCAGCTCCTTCCTTTCTCTCTTGCTCCCATTCTCACCAGGTGATGTGCTGGCTCACCTTTTGCTTTCTGCCAGGACTGAAAACTTCCTGAGGCCTCACCAAAAGCAGATGCTGGCACTATGCTTTGTGTACAGCATGCAGAACTATGAGCCAAGTAAACCTCTGTTATAAATTACCTAGCCTCAGGTATTTCTTTATAGTGACACAAAAAGGATTCACACACTGAGTATATCACATTGTGAAATAGAAATAACCACTTGATGGAGGTGATACTGTTGGCTCCGTTTTCTCTTTGGACAGTCTGTAATTTAAAATGGCCACATTAGCATTTATAGTTACAGCAGGTCTTCTGAACTTCAACTTTCCTGGCATCCTAGGCTGGACAAGCCTTTGTAGTGGAAGGCGATCTTTTGTGTTGAAGGATGCTTAGCAGCATCCCTGGTCTAATGGGGAGCCATTAGATTCCAGTAGCATCCTCCAGTGGCAACAACCAAAAATGTCTTCAGACATTGCTAAATATCCCCTGGGAGGTAAAACCAGCCCTGGCTTAGAAAAGTTCTGTTTCACGCATTTTGCTGACTAAAACCTCAAAGAGGATGTAATTTGTGATCTGATGAAAGCTGCTCTTGTGGTTTACTGACCCGCTTGTTTAATTAACCAACCTATGACACAGTGGTTAATGATTATCAGCATTTTTGAACCACATCCAGAAAGGACTGAGACAAGTTGAACTGTGTAAGAAAAGCAAAGGTCGTGAATGAAAGATCGCTTCTCAGCTACAACAGTGATCCATTAGATTTGCCTCTTCAGCCCACAGACTGACCCATTTTACTATTCATTATCATCCACAACACAGAAAAACACTGTGTGGAAATTAAAAATAGATTTCTTCCAGAAAATTAATGATGCTACATATATATAAACAGTTCCTGTTTATTAGTAATAAACACATAGACATAAACACAAATGCAAAAGATAAAAGGCTATTTAAATATTCCATTTAATTTGAATTTTTTTCCATAATGAAAACGCTTTATTAGAGAACTGTCGAAATGAGATAAAGGAAAATATGAGGTTGTCCGGCCCATTCTCTTCAAGAACTATGCTGTTGTGTATGCACCCCCACTCCATCCTCCACCCCCAGCCCATAGTCTTATTAAATATCCCCATTTTAATAATATAAGATACTGCTCATGCATTCCTCCTGGGACAGAAACTCAACAGATGAGCAGAGGGCACTGTGTTGACTACATAGAAAATAAAACTTCCAGCAAAGTCTATATCGGACATTACCAATCCAGGTTTATCAAGCACCCTACAAACTGTCTTAAAGATCCTTATACAACTTAACAGAGTTCATTTCTTGATGCTTAATGGTTGTTTTCTTAAAATTATTGGGTCCTCTGAATTCCAGAGAATACTGTATAAGTTATTTGTAAATTTCCTTATGCTTCATCTTTGCCCACTTTGGAATCAATGCTTATCTTTTGTTTCTCATGACAACATTCAGGATTTTCTTTGGTAAATAACAAAATCATTACTATTGAGACCCTTCTCTGAGCCAGGTATTATTTGGGCATGAAACATATACTATTTTATGCAATATTTATAATCCTGCCATATATTTATTATTTATTTATATTTATATATTCACGGGAAAATGGAAGCTCAGGGAGGTCCGGTACTTTGTTGAAAGTCTCACAGTGCATGAATGGCAGGGTCCTGGTTCAAACACAGTTCAAGTAAATAGTCACAGGATGTGAGGCTAGCTCTCAGTTTGTGTAAGGAAAAACTTGTACTTGTTTAAATTTGTTAAAATAGAACCCATCTGCAATATCCCCTGGACTTATCTAAGAAAAAAATAAAAGTCAATCGTAATGGAACATTCAGGAGCCTGAGGACCTGATGTGGCCAGGGGATGGACTAGATTGGGTGGAGATATTTTGTTACATGTAGAGAAACAGGCCAAGTGCTTTGTTCACTAGCAAGGAATAAATTGAGTCTTTCTTAAGCCTGGAAGGGAGGAGGATTTTAGAGACAGAGGCTCCCTGTGGAAAACACCCAACATTCAAAAGGGCAGGGGGTAGGGTGCTATATTTGTTTTCTCTAGTCCATGCTGTAGTCTATTAAGGGGGAAGAAGATAGGTCCGCAGGCGCAGTCTGCGTGGAAATGCAAGAGTAAAACAAGGGAAAAAAGAAAAGTGACCACAGCTTTAAAAATCCAAATCCAAACCCAAGCTTAAACCTAAAACCCAAACCCACCCGAATGCGTTGTGGGAAAGGATTCTACTAACAGTTGAAAATGGAACACCCACCACTGGACTTCAGGCTGTGAGAGTGTAGTCTGATTAATTAAGGTCAAGGTGGTGATGGAAATACCAGCTGGGGAGCATTTTGCCGAAAGATAAATTTGTCCCTCTGTATTTCTGCGAGACAGCAGGGAGGTGTGTGTTTGGAGCTAAATTAATTTGATTTACATCGTGCCATGGTAACTTCTGTTCTCTCCGCCCGCTGTCAGATGTCTTAGCTGGCTTTTCCCCTCTCCTTCTTCACCCCCACACATTTCATAACAGGGAAAGAAAGCACGAATTGGCTTCAGGCAGAACATGGAATAACTCTAATTTGATTATTCTACATTGAGTGCTATTCTCTTCGCCCCAATCCTCTTCTTTCTTGAGAGAGAGAGAGAGAGAGAGAGAGAGAGAGAGAGTTGTAAACCCGAGCATAAGTGCTATTTATTTTTATATTGTGCTTAACGGCGCACACCGCTTGACTGTTCTTGTATGCTCACCTACCCTGCCGTGTTTCTCCAACAAACTAATAGCAGAAAATGAAGTTATGGCCCGGATCCCGTTAGGAATGCGCTTTTCCTGGCCCTGTATCTTTCAGCTCCTTCAGGCTTTGGAGGCCGGGGCGGAAGGCACCTCTTGAGGGACCCTGCACAGCCCCGCCCTGGCACCTTCGGGCGGGGTGAGAGGGCGCCCTGTGACCGCGCTCGGCCCACCGCCCCTCGCCCCTCGCCCCTTCCAGCGGCGGGGCGGGCTCGGCAGGGCCGGATAAGGTTACGCCGAGGCTTCCTCGGTCGCGAGGGAGGGAGGCGGGTCCCAGCCCGTGCCCCGGCCCGCGGGGGAGTTCCCAGAGTTGGCCGCTCCGGCCCTCGGGGCCACATCCCTGCTGCCGGCCAGGCGCGGCCCGCGGGACCCCGAGAGCAGCGCCATGGCCCGGGAGAGGCCGCCCGGGAGGGGCTGCGGCGCCCTGAGCCGGTGTCTGCTCGGGGCCGCGCTGCTGCTCGGCCTGCGGCTCTTCGCGGAGCTGCGGCGCGCTGGGCCCGGGTCTCCTGCCCACAGCGCCCCGCGGGGCCCAGCCTGGCGGCCACCTGGGCCGCACCTGCCGCCCGCGCCGGGTCCGCAGCGCGGCGCCAGCAGGAGGCAGGTGATCTACGTGCGCAGCGGGCGGCGGGTGCCGCCGGGGGGCGGCGGGAGCGGGACGCCGGAGCCGAGCTGCTGTGCCCCGCGCGGGAGCCCGCGCCGGAAGGTCAGTGGCAAAGCGAGCGGTGTGTTGGGCCTGGGACCAGAATCCCCCTCCCGACCGCGCTACGGAGCCTGGCGCTCGGGTCCCGCAGGCCGCCCCGCTGGGACCTCCGGAGGCTTCCGCTCCTTCTCTTGCCCTGCGCTCTCTTAGGCGGCTCCACGGGTCGCATCCCTCAGCGCCCAGATGGGCTCAAGCGGGACGGAGCGGAGTTCATTCACGCTTCAGCCATTACTTGCTGGGCTTCGTCGGGGCCGGACGCCCTTCCAGGCTCCGCGCATCCTGCGAAGAAGGACGGAGCTCTGTTCTGGTAGTTTAGTAGGGAAGGGCTTGCTTGACAGGCAGGGAAAGGGGAAGGCAGGAGGTGAGGCTGCCATTGATGTGGTGTGCTGCTGCCAGCCTTCCGCTCGAGGCCTGGCCGGCGCTGGGTGGGTATCGCCGTGAATGGCCTGTCCACTCCGCTGCCTTTCTCTCGCTGAAGATCCACCAGCTGAACGAATTTCCCTGGAGTTCCATTGCAGGCTTTGGCCGGGGGCTGGGAGGCTGGAGCCCGGGGAGAAGCCGAGCACCCAGCCCTACTTAATGAGAAGTTAATTGGATCCTCGAGGACCAGAGTAATAACCTGGGTTCGTCTTACAACTCGCGACAGTGTTGTGCCTCCTACCTCATTAACTTCTTGGCTCACACCTCACTGAGTGGTCCAGTTTTAGCCTCTGATGGTTAAAGTTTTGGCCGCTTACCTCCTTTTTGGAGCTCGGTAATTTGCGTCGTACTTGGGAATGAAAAGAACTACAGGTATGAGCTCGCCTCGTCCTCTTACCCATCAGCTCCTCCTTCTAGCCTCAACCACGTTTTCCGAAGCAACTACTCTCTGTTTCCCGGCTTTTCCTCGTGTCTTTTAGACAACTACCCCAACCTCCACCCCGCTTCCCACCACCGGCCCTGGAGGGGAGAGAACAACTCTTCCTTTGCCTCGCTGCTGTCTTGGGCTGCCCGGTGCTAGCCTCCTTCTCAGCACCACAGCCCGGCACTGCTGCCGCGGCCTCCCCTCCCCGCTTCCTCCGTGCCTCGGTCTCTGTCTTTCCACGCCACCGCCTGTCCTTTCTGGGCCGTCAGTACTAGCTTCCTGGATACCCTGAAATACCTTTTTCTGTCTCGCAAACCTCGCCTCCTATGCAAAGTCTTAATTAGCTCTTCCAGAGGAGAGCAGCCATTTCCTCTCCAAGTTCCTAACTCACTGTCGGTGACACCATGTTACACATTCAGCACAGTTTTGCCAAGGGCTCACCAGATAGGCATCAGGTGCTGGAGGCACAAAAGGAGTTCAGACGCTCGTGGGGGAGGCTCTTAGCACAGGTATCCGGTGATTTCCAGTCCTGTAATTGAGGCCTTCAGCTCTGCCTGGGAAGCAAGAAAGGCTGCTCAAGGCGGGGGACATTTGACCTACAATATGGTGTTTCTTTTCTTTTTTTCTTTTTTTTTTTGAGCCGGAGTCTCACTTGCCCAGGCTAGAGTACAGTGGCTTGATCTTGGCTCACTATAACCTCGCCTCCCGGGTTCAAGTGATTCTTCTGGCTCAGCCTCCTGACTAGCTGGGATTACAGGCGTGTACCACCACGCTGGGCTAATTTTTGTATTTTTAGTGTAATGGGGTTTCACCATGTTGGCCAGGCTGGTCTTGAACTGCTAACCTCAGGTGATCCAACCACCTCTACCTCCCCGCCCCGCCCCCCCCCCCCCCCCAAGGTGCTGGGATTACAGGTGTGAGCCACCATACCTGGCCAACAGTCTGATGTTTCTTAAGAGTGGAGCTTCTTTTATTCCCCTGTGGATGTCCTCCAACGACCCGTCATTGATACCCTCAGCCCCGCCCTGTAGTTTTCCTTTCAAATTCACTCAACATCCGTTGTTTCTACTGTCACCTGTCAGAGAATTACTCTTAACTCTTTGTCTCTACCTCACACAACAGTATTGATGGCTGGACCATGTTCTACAACGGACACGTTTGGAATGCATAGACTCAGTGGGGCACTGGAGGGGAGGTTCACACCCATCCCCGCAAGGAGCTAGGAGGCTGCCACAGTGATTCATGCTGGAGATGGGGGTGGCTTACCGTGGTAAGTGTGGAGGTGGTGAGAAGTGGTTGGTTTCTGGATATGTTTGGAAGGTAGATGAGGAGGAGCAGTTATCTCTCTCTGTTTTGTTTGGGGGATAGATGGAAAGCAGGAGTTTGGTTTTCGGCAAGTTAAGTTTGAGATATCCTTCAGGCATGCATGTGAAAATGTCAAATAGGCAGCCAGACGTGTGAGTCCAGAGCTTGGAGGAAATGTCCAGGTGGAAGGTGGTGATTTGGGAGTCATCCAGGTACAAGTGGCACTAAAACTGAAAGATAGCATGTGATTATCTAGTAAGTGAGTGTGGCTAACGAAGAGAATCAACCCCAGCCTGTGGCCTGGGGCTCAGTTTTATTAAAATTAAATTAGGAAAAAAAGTAAAGGAAATGTTTAGCTTTGTGCCTGGTGTGTTTAGCTCTTAATAGTGGTAGCTTTGCTTTCTGTAGTCTGCCCCAGCTTTGTAGCCTCAGCCAGTCTCCACATGTCATTCACTGTAAACTGCAAAGGCGGCTTATTCTGACTCCTCTACCTGCAAGGCCCATATCCCCCTTTCTCATGACTCCTGCCCTTGCCATCCTTGGACATTCCTCAGGTCAAAGGTTCATAGCCCAGAAATCTTCCCATAGCAACCCTGCTTCATGCTGACCCCTCCCCCATTTGGAATGACAACAGAAATAGAGTCTGATTTGTGCATAGCTTTGTACAAGTTGAGACCTGATAATCCATTTCAGATGGAGTGTTTTGTCTCCACAGTTGTTCTTGATGGGAAGGATTGCGTTTCCCATAGTGACCCCTAGTAAATATTTACTCCTGAGACCCCAATATGTGAAAGTATAAGAATCTTACTATTTCAGCCTATTCCATAACTGTAAATGTCTTTGGTTAAAAATTTATAAGAAATAAGTGGTCTTTTTGCTATTTCTAAAATATTAAGTGTTTAGCCTCCTAAGGCAAACATTTTCTTAGGTTTCCTTCTCCATAGCTATGATTTTCAGGATATACATCTAACCTCCCCAAATCCCTGGGTAGTGGGGATCTTGATCTTGCATTTGTTTTATTCTCCCATTATTTCACAGTTGAATTAAAATATTCCCTAAAACTCTAGAAAGATCAGTTCTCTAATCCATCCTCCCACTTCTGGGAACAGAGCTCAATACCCCAGATCTCTCTAGGGATAAGTCTTGTTTCTTTTTCAGCCTAACGTCAAGATAGCAGTGTAATAAAAGCTGAATGTACCATCAAGTAATTGAAATAAAATTAGGAAGTTATTTGTTAAACTCCTTGGATTGTATTTTATTTAGATTTCGTTTGTTGAAAATACTCATCAACAATATTGTTAGGTTCTTGGTTACTTTGCCCCCGGTACCTCCCAGACTGATAAAGCAGAAAAAGTTCTATTTTGAGGACAGCTTTCTGGGTAGATGAAAACCTGCGTGAAATAATTGGATTGCCAAGTATTTCTTGTTACTCTGCTTCCATTGCAGGTGTTAGAAGCACCAAAATTCTGCCACTTTCATCATAGCTTATGCTTCTCTTAAAGAAAACAATCTATTATAAAAAAGAGTACTGAAGTATAGTCCTCATGTAATTCTTTCTTTCTTCATCCCCTTCTTCATGGAGTCATCCAAGAACTAGCTCTAAGTATTTTCAGTTCTTTGACATCAGGGGTTCTCATCTTCAAGCTTTGTGAAATGAGAGCCAATGACAGCTGATGGATAAGTACTCCCCTTTCTGGTTATGTCTACCCTGGAACCTATATATTCTTGTGTATTACAGACTCTTTAAGCATTCTGTTGGGGCTCTTCATATCCAAATTTTGCATACTGTGCATGTGTAAAAATATCACTGTGATGCTTTTTCTTTCTGTTCTGTTTTCTTCTGTATGTGTTTCTGTTTGGGATTTTTCTTTTTTTCTTTCTTTCTTAAATGAACCAGACCTTTACTATGATTATGGATAAAGTTCTTTGTGAAGGGATTTATAGAGGAGCAGATACGGTCTCCATGATTTATGCTTTTTAATGCAGCTCTTGGGAGGATGTTTTATCTCATATAGGTTGGCAATCCACCTAAAAGGCAGATGCAAAATACAGGGCTCATTTGCAAAGGAGAGCCACTCACTCAGTGGCCAAGCTTCTTGTAGAAATTTCATCTCTCTTATCGGATATATTTTACTTGACATTTAATATGTTGGATAGCAAAGTGACTTCTGAGTCACAGAGCTCCAGAACCCAGCGATGTGCTGGCTTGGTCCATCAGTTACAGATCTTTTGGAACAATGTGTCAAGGGGGAGGAAAATAGAACTGTTTCCCCTTCTCCTGAAAAGCCATATGGCAAATTTGGTCTTTCCTCCTCACTTCTTGTCATCCTCTTAGTTTTCTAATTCTGTGATTGTCATCAAGAAGAAAGAGGAAAAATGGCATAGGATGCCCCCTGAAATATCCAACTGCCTTAAGGGTTCTTATTCTTTTTTTTTTTTTTTTTTTGAGACGGAGTTTCGCTCTTGTTACCCAGGCTGGAGTGCAATGGCGCGATCTCGGCTCACCGCAACCTCCGCCTCCTGGGTTCAGGCAATTCTCCTGCCTCAGCCTCCTGAGTAGCTGGGATTACAGGCACGCGCCACCATGCCCAGCTAATTTTTTGCATGTTTAGTAGAGACGGGGTTTCACCATGTTGACCAGGATGGTCTCGATCTCTCGACTTTGTGATCCACCTGTCTCGGCCTCCCAAAGTGCTGGGATTACAGGCTTCAGCCACCGCGCCCGGCCAAGGGTTCTTATTCTTTACAAAAATATTTGAAGATAGGTTTGAATTGCTTGTGAAACCTGGCCCAGCGGTAGTTTCCAGCTCCTCAGGTTTTTGCCTGTGTACCTACACTTCTGTCTTCAGGGAGC